GCCTAATATCTCTTCATTTGCATTCTTGGCAAAGAGAAAGATGTACAAGGCCTAAGAGCCACACAGAGGATTACAGAGTAAGAGGCACCAACCACATCGAGGAGATAATGCCACCAAATCATAAGGGGTCATCAGAAGTGAAAGAGAAGGAAAAGGCTTTAGAAGGAACCAGATATGGCAACAATATTTCATCATTTCTGGTCTGATCTGGTTCTTCTAAAGTCAAAGCGAGAGAAGTGGTGGTGGTGGGGGAGTCAGATACTTACTAGAGTGGTACAATGGATCGGTTATTTTTCCAGCATCTTTATCAATAGATCAGATATATGAGTTCCACTTGAGATTTGGCATTTGATTTAGGATCTAACATTTTTTTCACCCAGTAAAAGGCCCAAGAGTCACTTAAGGTACTGGGTTACTGGTGTTGTATGAGTGCAAAAAAAAAAAAAAAAGTGAAATTCATGGGACTATGCAGGGAGGTAATGGTTGACCCCAGACTTGAAAAGGTCAAGATTGTAGTGATTGGGAAAACATCTGTTGCAAAGTTTGTTGCATAAAGCTGTCCAAGTGGAAATGACTTGTTGCTAATGGAATACGAAAGGAATGAAATTATTGTGTTCATAGCAGGTCTCATTTGTAAACATAAGGATGTGGGACTAAGGAATGTAGCTTGTTATAACACATGCCATGGAGATAGCGATTGAGCATTGAGAAAAGAAACTGTCTGGAGGTGGGGTGGAGGATGGAAAATAATGGTTGGGTAGATGTTTTTGAACTTTATAAAGACAAGCAAGTGAGCACTTGGCAGCTCCAATCCAGATATGGCAGCAATACACTATTTGGGGCCTGATTTGGCTCTTGTAAAGAGATAGCATCACAGTGAAGGTGGGGAGTCAAATACTTACTGGGGCCGTACAATGAACCAACCATTTTTACAACATTTTTAGAAATAGATTGTATATATGAGTTCCACTTGTGGTCTGGGGTGAGTTTGCATCTCAATAGATACAGTTGAAATTTCTAGGATGCATAATGAAGAAAGAAAGCTTGGAAAATTTGTCACTCACTGTGACATATTGAAGGCAAAATGGTTAGAGGGAAACAGCAAGTAACCTACTGAAAGAGCTTGGGTGTGTAAATGGATGACAGAATATGGAGATAATGGGATAATAAAAGTGTTACTAAGAGCTACAAAGGGTAGAAAGGTGTGGAAAGCCATGACTGTTAATATCCTGAATGGACATGGCACATAAAAGAAGAAGAATACAATGTGAGATAATTAAAAATGATAACAATAGCAATAAAAATAAATGTAATAAAAAGCTAAATAGGCTACATTTATTATTTACTAGCCTAGAAGCTGCCTTTTGGGCAGACTTTAAGCAAGCTCCTGAGGAGGACTTTTGAGCCTTCGGCATCGAAAAGTTATAGGAATTTAAAAATAATAAAATTATTTTATCTTTATTCAGCATAATCTTTCTTCATACACACAACTGATCTTTGTAGTTTGTTTATATTTATTTTGTCCACATTTTTTATTTTCCTTTAAAGATCATCATTTTTTATGATCCTTTCACATAAAGTCACACTTAAAAGACATTAGAGAACCTGAACTATGTAATATTTTGAATAAATCACAGTACGTGTGCTAGAAAAAAACAAAAAAACAACCCCTTTGATCAACATACCGCTCATTGATTAAATTTTAATATCAATTGCAACTGCAACGAAAAGCAAAATTAATTTTAAATCTTTAATAAAGAATTGTTTTTAAACCTTTCACTTTGTTCAATATTTAAATTTAACTTTAAATGAGTTATTTATTTAATTTTTAATTGTGTGTAACTACAGTAGAGTTACTATCTGTTACTTCAGGTTGTATATGATTTGCTGAGATTGAAAAACAGATGGACAGACAGACACATGTACACTGGGCTTTATTTATATAGAAGAGATACAGGGTGCAATGAGTAAATTGTTGCCATTTTATGTTCTTAATTTCATGCATGCATGTTGTTTGGTTTTGATTTTGTTGATGGCACACTGTAGTAGGGTCTGTTGGGCACCATCTGAGAAAAAGTGCACTATGACGCAATTCACTCCGCCAGTAATTTAGAAACTGCATTCTTTACTGCTTGGCATTTGCATTGGAAGCTCCAATACAAACATTTCAGAGTGTTTGGGTGTCAATCTGAGGACAGTGCAGAGGATTTTGAAAGAGTTGGAAGATATATCCAGTCAACATCATGGTTTTTGGAGTGATCACTAGTGATGGCGATGTTATCCCTCCATTCATCTTTCCACAGGGCTGCAGAGTCAACACAGAGGCTCACAGCCTTGAAGAGGTAGTGCTGCTCTGGGTCAAGAGGGTGACTGCTGGAAGACACTATGTCTAGCAACAGGATTGCCACACAAGCAGGAGAACCCAGTCATGGCTGTCAGACAATTTCTGAAACCACATCATCCCTTACAAATGGCTACCTAACTCCCTGGATTGCAACTTCCTTGATTATTATGCTCTGGAACAAAGTTGAGTGAGAGACTAACAAAACTTCTTGTAACACCAAAGATGAACTGAAGGCAAGGATTATGGCAGCATTCACCAACTTAAACAACGAGACCGTCCAGGAGAATTGCAGAAGTTGAAGGCTGTGGTTGAAGCCAATGGTGATTTTAGTGAATAAATTTATATTTTTCTGTAATTTTGGTAAATATATCTGTTAAAATGAGATGTCATTGTTTTCATTTTTGTGTAATTTAGATGACAATTTATCCATTGCATCCTGTATATATTATTCATATTATATTGAGCAACCTTCAAAGGTTCACTTGAAAGATGAGCATAAATGATGAAAAAATGTATTCAGTTTTAAGAAATTTCAAGAAATTGCGCTGGCCTTGGTATGAGCACTCTGGTCCAATGAGAAACACAGCTGAGAGATAATGTATAAACTTGTAACAAACTACTTTAGAGTAATTTGTTTTTACTCAACCCCCCATGAGATCAGGTTGTGACACAAGGTTGGTTTAATGTGGGGAGCCCGAGCATGTACACCCAGGCTAGGAACAAAAATTGCCCGTAGCCCCTGCTACCATCGGTTGCACTGACCTCAGTGCAAGCAATTTCATATGCTTCCTTGGAGTATTGTCCATCGCAGATAATGGCTGTAGGACAACTAATTGACAGTCAAGATAATAGTGTATGGGCATAAAAAAAATCTGATGCAATCACAGATGACAATATTTTTCAAGGCCAAACAAATTTCATCATACACTCCAAAAACAGATTCATATTACTGCACACCACTGCAAATGAATTATCTGAGGAAAAAATAGAAACTGATTATACCCAGTCACTCAAGTTGATCTAAAATTGACTGTATGGTGAAAGAAAGGAAACTAAAGCAGTTGTTTTAATTAATTTGCACAAGGATGTAAATATACATCTTCCTCTAATATAAGAAAATATTTTCTCTTCAACAAATGAGACAATGCCACTACAAATTGAATTCCCATAAGAAACTAATAGCATAATTCTGTTACACTCTCCTTTGTTTTATTGCATTGTTCTAATTATTTTGATTAACATGAACTATTTCTGTTATTGTTTTGTAAAAGAAATATATGTTGAATTCATTTCTTTTGAGATTGTTAACATTTTCTAGTGATTGCTCTTACAGTTGGTAACTTTCTGCTGTATCTGAGCTTAAAGCTACAACAAAGGCCTCTGTTACAAGTGGTAACCCCAATGTAATTTGAAAATACCATCATTACAAAAGCAAGAGAAATATATAGAGTAGAGGGTGAATAAAAAAAAACTTCAGAAAAATGAAAAGCAGGTGAATGGAAATGGGGAAGAGAGGGAGATTTTGATTTTTTAATCAGTTCATCCCAAGCAAGGTATGTCACTAAGACACAATGAACTACTGAGAGTGAAAGAGAATGAAAAAAAAGCTTTAGAAAGAACTGGAAACTTAATCATAAACAGGGATCAAGGGATAAACCTCTATTCCTGTTCAAAAGACTGGGGAGGAGTGTGAACTGAATAATAGGTGAACCTATCTACTCCTATGAAGTGAGACAAAGTCATAGGCTTTTTTTCTTGAATTTTATTACTCCTTTACTCTTTTGCAATGGGTGAAGTTTTATATAAGATTTTTTGCACAAGATTATGCAACACTTATTTCAATTAATCACATTACTTAGAATGATGTCTTTGCTACTTATGTAAACATAAAAACAGTCTTAGCAATAATATAGATGACAGATGGCTATAAAAAGACACTCATGATTATTACAGCTAATTTGTTTAAATAATGCACTGATTATTATTTACAACATGTGGCAATAACTGTAAGTAAAATGATGCACTAAAAGAAGTAACCAAGTGATCATTTTAAGTTTTAAGAGATTCTAGATAAAATACAAAGAAGTATCTACAATGTTATTGATCCTTGCCTGGGATCTCAGCCTCAGTCCCTTTCCCAATGCTGTAACGTAGCTTCCCTGTGCCGATTCTATAAATATTTTCATGGTAATTGTTCGGATGAAGTTTTCTCTCTGTTACCTTGACTTTATGGATTTAAGTGCAGAACTTGATTGGCCACAAAGTCTCTTCATTTTACAGTTGAAATGGTTAGTTGTAACTGTAAGTTCTATGCTAACAGTTTCTTCTCTTGCATATCTCATTTGTAGAACTCTTTTCTGGCTTCTTGCTTTCCAGTCCATTTTGAACTTCTAAAATTTAAATGCAATGCCAATCATTATCTTCTTTCTTCCTAATTCCTCTTCTTTTATTGTTCTCTCTTAATCATGTTTTCTTTTTTTCATATTTTGTAACACTCAGTAAGCTCTTGTGTCTTAGTGACTTTATTGCCTTGCTTAAGGTGAAATGATAAAAAAATATAGGAAAGTAAGTAGATAAATGTTATTAATATATATATTCTCATGTATTAAAAACAAAAAAAGTAATTTTTGATTTGCATATTTTTTTCTAATTTCAGGTGTGTTGGCAGGAATGATGATTGATTCTTTGGGGTGTCGGAAGTCTGTGATTATTGGTGCCTTGTTGTCCTGCATTCCTACTGCTATCAGCTTCGTCACTTACAATATTGTGGCTCTTATTTTTCTACTGGGAATTATCTGTGGTAATTATCCAATTTTCTGTAATCACTTTTAAATGCCATGTTTTTTTTTGGGGGGGGGTTGTTTCTAAGTGATCACAATTCTCTCCTGTTACCATTTTTTTAATATCTGCGAACATCCATGACCTTTCTTTGGGAAAACTAGAAGAATGGAATTGTGTTACCGTTATTCACAGTTTTGAATTGTCTTTATCGAAGACTGGTTACCCTATCAAAGCTTGAGAGCCTAGTCATCCCTATTATTTTACTCATAGTTGTAGGAAAAAATTGATGGATTTCGCAATGCAGCAGTTTTGATCTTAGCCTGTCAGTTTCAAATAACTTTTACCAACACATGAATCTTTGGTACTTTGAAATGATAAAAAAAAAAAAATATAAATGAAATTTGGGTATTGTTAAGTTTGCTGCTTCAAATGATTTCTGAATAACAAACACCAAATTATCTCCCTTCACAGCTACTATCTTAAAAGTCCTGTAGATGCCCCTGTTGATTATGGGGCCTAGTGTTTCAAATATACTAAGCATTGTAGTTGTATTAGTAGCAAGTAGATTTTTCTAGGATAAAGTTAGTTGTCCTCTGCCCAAGCAGTTTTGAACACAGTGTTGTCTTTCTTTTAGACTGGGTGCCAACCCTAACTAGAGAGTTCAGTCTGCCTTACTATTTAACACATAGCTGAGGGGTGGTGAGAAGGTATTTGTGCAAAAGAGAATGCAATGAACTCGATCAGAATTCAAACTTGAAATTGAAAGTTAAGCATCCCTGCATCTTAAGTATTTCTTTTGATGTGTAACTGACATCTGTTATATTTCGTTTACTCCCCTTTCTGACAGAAACTAAATTTATTGCTTTTTTTGTGTGCAGCTTTTGGATCCTCAATTGTGATGTTGACTGGAATGGTTCGAGTCGGCCAGCAGTTTGGACATGAGCATCCAATTGGCACTGTCATCATTAGTGGGTCACACCCAGCTGGATTCATTATCTTCCCTCAAATAATGCCATTACTCATTAAACTCTACACATGGAGAGGAGCTGTCTTGATTCTGTCTGGCATCATCTTGAATGTGATTCCTTTGGGTCTTCTTGCCACTTACGGTAATTAATTTCTTGATTTAATTTCTATTTAATATGCACACACACACACACACACACACACACAGCCAGGCATATACAAGCACATACACACACATACAGCCAGACACCCATACTTATACAGTTATGCAAACCAAGTTTTAAAGCAAAAAATATTTTTAAAAATTATAAAATCTTAAATTGTTAAATGTACTTTTGAAATGAGCTATTTCTAGAAGAAAAGCCAAAAGATATCAAGACTGTGAAAAGCCAAATGGTAATGGTGAAAGTAAGCATTTCCATACAGTGAACACTTACTATTACTTTCAGTTGAAATTTATAAAATCTTTTTTCTTGAAACAGTTTTTTCAGAAAATTTAATTTCACAAGTTCATTTCTCTTTCTAGTTTGTGTATTAGTTTCCTTCCAAACCTTTTGTTTTTGATAGTATAGTGTGGAAAGTTAACATCTTAATTGTTATTATTTTTTGTTAATGAAATTATTCCCAAGCAAGGCAGTAAGCCACTAAGATACAAAGGGTTACTGGTTGTGGAAGAGTTAGAAAACAGAAACATTATTAATAAGTGAGAACAATAGAAGAATAATCAGGAATACAGTAGATTATGATTGACATTGCATTTAGAAATTTTAAGATTAAAGTTGGCTGGAAAGCATAGAGCTGGAAGGGAGTTCCATAAGTGAGAAGTGTGAGAAAAGAAACTGTTAGCATAGAATTTATGGTTGCATCTAGCCAATTCAACTGTAAAATGATGAAACCCTGCCACCAATCAAGTTCTGTGCTTAAATTCATAAAGTCTATGTACCATAGCGAAGAGCTCATCCAAACAGTTGCCCTGAAAGTATTTCTAGAAAAGGCATAGGGAAGAATTTTATGCCTGTAGGCAAGTGAAATTTTCCCTTCTAGTTACATATGCTGCCCATTTTTTGTTTTTGCTGCCAATAGAAATGTTCAAGTAAGTAATTTTTGGAATACAGGAGAATATCTCAGGAATTCTTATTTTGCTAAAACTTGAAAATATTGTTTTTGAAAGATGAATTGTTGGATGTTATTTTGAAAGGTTTTTGAAAATGCTGATGCAGAGACTGTTTCAAGAAACTGATGTCCACAAATTTACACCTTTTGGCAACAAAATGTATGACCATGGCAGGTAAAAAAAAAACAAGGGCACGTAACTCTGATTGTTATGGAAGTAATGATCATTTTTTTGTCAAATTCTGATGAAAACAGCATTTAGGTTTTCAGTAACAATTTAGTTGCACTTCAAGTTTGACGTATATGATCAACAGTACTATGTTGTTTGGTTCTCCTTTATGACATTTCTCAGGACAATGTGAATTACTTTGCAGTGATCATCATCTCTCCAAATAATATGTGACAGATTGTACTAGGTTACATGGTACCAGCAACAATCCCTGCAATGATATATTGGAAGGAATAGAACCTGTCTGTTTTAGAGGTCCCACTCCTGGTTTAGTTGTCTGTCTCCAAGACTAATTGCCAGCCAATGCTAGATTTCCCAGTTTACCCTACTCTTTATTCAAAGCTAGAAATGAATTCATGCCTTTCTCAAGGGCATTCGTACAGGGATCTGAATTTGGTTTGCCAACTTCATTTTTGGGTGTATTAACCATGTATCCACTTGTACTTCCTCAATAATTTAGTACAATCCTAATGTTCCTCTTGCCTTCTCAAGCTGAAAAAGCTTGTGTGTGCTAAATTTCACTTCCGTTTATAGAATTTTGAAGATACACATGTACTGCACAGAGGCACACACCATCTTCTTTGTATGAGATGTAGTTAACTGATATATATATATATATATATATATATATATATTATAAATTAATAGATTTAAAATATGGTTTTTTGGCTACACAGTTCTAACCATGTTTCAAAAATGGAAGCTAAAAGCTTCGAATTTAATTTTGTAATTAGATTAAAGACATTTTGTAATTAAATTAAAGACATTAGTTCCATTTCATCCTCAAGCAAAAATTCACTTGAGGATGAAATGGAACTAATGTCTTTAATTACAAAATTAAATTCAAAGCTTTTAGCTTCCATTTTTGAAACATGGTTAGAACTGTGTAGCGAAAAAAAAACATATTTTAAATCAATTAATTTATAATATTAATGCTCTGTCTCTGTAAATTTACATTGAGCACTATTTTGTAAAAATAAAAATATCTATAGGAACACCAGATTATATATCTTACTGTTCTTTTTTTTTTTTTTTATATATATATATATATATATATATATATATATATATATATATATATATATATATATATTAAGGAAATCTATGACATTATTTATGAAGTATTCATGGCAGTTAAAAAAAGTTTTTATGACAGTAATCTTCAAGGTTTCATTAACCATTAATTGATTATCATTCTGAAGTATTCATTGCAGTTAAAAATTTGTGTTCTATTGTGTTCTAGTACCAAGTGTATAATCACCAATTAATGCTGATCAGAAGACATTTGAAATGCTAATAACAAAATGTAACAGACATGAATGATTTGTGAAGAAGTATTTCTGATTTTACATAGAGTAATTTTCAGAAAATAAAAAAGAGTAATCTATGGAGAGTTGGGATTGTCTATATTCTGAAGACAATGAAACAATATTATATCTGATATCTTGAGGTGAAATAATGGGTTTAGTCCAGAGAGGCTACTCCATACTTGTGCCCTTGTGTCAGACTTAGCTACATCTCTGAACGGATGGTTTACAATTTTATTTGGAATGTTGTGTTTTGATTTCTAGATTTCTTGCTGGCTGATTGGAAAATGGCAGCCAGATATAAATGTAAAATTGGCAATCCGGAAACTTGAAATATCATTAACAGATGGCGGAGATGTTAAACCAATATCCAGATGGGGAACATTTCCAATTTTTACTCACAAGGAACAATTTGCAAGTAGATGTCAGGTCTGACTAAATGGCTAGTATAAGACCAGAATTCACTTGCTGAGTATAACCAATTCATAAATAAAATCCAGCATTTTATATATATATATATATATATATATATATATATAGATAGATAGATAGATAGATAAATATATACACATGGTGAGATAGGTAAATTGCTGTCATTTTATATTTTTAATTTCGTGTATGCATATTGTTTTTGATTTTGTCAATTGTACAGTATAGTAGGGTCAGTTGGGCACCGTCTTTGAGAAAAAGGACACCATGACGCAATTCACTCCACCAGAAATTTCGAAACAGCATGCTGTACTGCTTGGCATTCATGCTGGAAGCTCTAATACTAACATTGAAATATGTTTGGGTGTCAATCTGAGGAGAGTGCAGAGGATTTGGGAAGAGTTGGAGGAGTCTAATGGTGATTGGGAAAGTGTTTGGAGAGATCACTAGTGATGGCGATGCTATGCCTCCTTGAGGAGGTAGTGCTGCCCTGGGTCAAGAGGGTGACTGCTGGAAGACTCCATGTCTGGCAACAGGACTCTGCACCATGCCACACATGAAGGAGAACCTAGTCATGGCTGTCAGACAATTTCTGAAACCACACCACCCCCTACATCTGGCCATCTAACTCCCCAGACTGCAACCACCTTGATTATTATGTGTGGAGCACAGTTGAGTGAGAGGCTAAAAAAACTCCTTGTAATACCAAAGATGAACTGAAGGCAAGGATTATGGTAGCATTCTCTAATTTAAAAAAAGAGAGCATCCAGAAGAGTTGTAAGGGATTCTGATGACTTCTAGAGGGCGTGGTTGAAGCCAGTGGTGATTTTATTGAATAAATTTACTCTTTAGGATTTCAAGATATTTTTATGTAATTTTAGTAAATATATCTGTTAAAAAGAAATGTCAGTGTCATAATCATATTTTTTTTAAATTTAAAAGCTCTGCATGTTAATTTTTTTATTTTATTTTCTTTATATGTTTATTGAGCACTTTTTAATACTACTGTTTCCTGGTCTAATTCAACTCTGACCAATAAATTTTTTATATAACTATATATATATATGTGTGTGTGTGTGTGTGTTTAGCAGATGTACAAATGTATCTGAAAGAAAAGTGAAGATACTATTTATATTATTTGGACTATTGTCCTCATCTTTGTTGCCATATTTATTACAACGTTTCGGCTGTTGTTCATTCCGGCCTTCTTCGGGTGGTTGGAATGTTAAACTGAACTCTTTATTTCACTCACTAGGGTAGACTGTTCTAGTTCTACGTGGCATGTTTAATGGAACTAGAACAGTCTACCCCATCTACTTCATCTCAGAAATATAGACAGATACAAAAGTGAAGATGATGTGACAAAGTGGAAAATTTATTAATGCCAGAGTGTCTGTCCTCTTTGGCTTCCTCAAGTTAGAATGAGAGAAAGACAAAACTGTATCTGAAAGAAAATGCCTTTGGATTTCTGAGGATAAATAGTCATAAATCAAATTAAATTAGATACCTTATTAGCTCCAATGTTCAGACTCAAGAGAGTGTCTGTTCCGCCTGTTTGTTTGTTTGATCTATATCAGATGCGTTTGGTGTGGTTGAATTTTAAATCTGTCTGTAGAAACAAAAGAGTGATATTTATTATATATATATATATATATATATATATATATACACACACACACTACCACCTAGGAATGTACATATATAAGAGCCTTACTTTTATATTTGCACATTCATATATGCATGTGTACATACTCATATGTACCTGTGCATTTGGGCACCTCTATGTAGTGTAACTTGCTAGAACATTTATGACTGAGTAATTAGTTTGACCACATACTTTCAACCTTGGGCCACAACTAAGCTACACTTAGAAAATTACTATATATATATCTGTGCATACATATATGCCCACTCACATATATACATGCTATAGAGGCTCTTCTTTTTTTCTGTATATTTGTATACATAGATATATACAAAATATTTCTTATACACAAACACACACACACCTGTACACACATATGGCCCCTCATATACCTGTGCACACATTTGCATACAATATATATATTAGAC